CAATAGATTAATCAGTGAGAGATACATAGTCATCATCATCCGTTTCACCTTAATTATATGTTGTGCCGACCTAGATGTGAATCATATTGTTGGTGGTTTTGGCTATGTTTTTTAGGACCAGCCGCCTGCCTGACGTTAAATTTCCTTGTGAACAAACACCTACATCCGCAACAATTATCTGTAGAGAATACGAACTGTCCCTGGTAGATATCGATCCCACGATCCCCAGCACCTAAACCAATAGCTTAGCAACCGCGCTACGAGACAGATAATATTAGTGTTGACTAGTATTAGTGTGTCGTTAGACACTTTGTCAGTACAATACACCTTGACAGAAATGATTATGATTTCAAGTTTGTAAATTAACCTATTAGGTGCAGGTTATGACAGTCGTTGTTTTTACCTCACGGTAGGAAACAGGTGATACATGCGATTTTTCCCCATTAAGGGTGACACTCTCCCAGGGTACCGTAAGTGCGCTGGCCAGAATTTCCTGCGGTAGGTATGGGTGCCTCTATGTACTGCATATAAGCTTGAAATTATAATCTAGCTCTAATCTTGCTAATATAGCTTGCTCTAGGAAACGAGTCAATAGTTCCCGCTCTGTGGTGCTATTCGTGGCTATCTATATAGCTATGATATATATCGATCAATGGCTCCAGTGCGTAGGTATCGCTATGGGTGCCGTTTCCCCTTATAGGCCCCCTTTCTGGGAAGCAATGAAAAATTCAACCCTATTCCAGCATATTAGTGCCGATTATTCTTAAAGTCAATATGTTATGAATTTGCTTACTGTTTGAACTAATATCCTCAGGAAATCATTAGATGAAGGGTATTATAATAATGCAAGAAATATGCTGCTTAGTATAAAGACAAAACGAGCAAAAAAGCTTGATAACAGGTGTTCATATTAATATAGATGAAGATAATGCATTACACATGTCGTTCATATTTATAAATACCTCTTTTACTGATTGTGATTGTTCTCCGTGGAATGCGTTATTGCGTGCTTAACGCAATGAGTGCGTTAACATTTTAGTTCTTTTACGTGTGTGAACTTTTCATTCCGTTTTTTGTTAAGGTTAATGTAAGTGATCTAGTGGTTGGAATTTTTTGACTAGAGGTTTGTGCCTCCGGATTAGAATTTTAGAGCAACAATTGTGCCCGGTTTACGGTGACAAGCTCACCACAATATGAATATATATTTACCATGGATAACATGAGACATCTCTGTGTACTTGAACTCCCGCCACATCACAGCGTCGTCGTTGACAATGTTGAATTGATTCCTTTACCGAAAAATTCATTTAAGATAAGCAATATTCCGATTACCAGAGCTTAATAAGAACCACAACACATTTCACTAATTTCTTTAATACTTTATTTAATTAAGTAACAGCGACTATGGAATAAAAAAAATGTGAAACTTGTTCTCACCTGTAATAATATCCACACAAAAAAAAGAAGGTTTTCAATCTGTATATGTGTGAAAACCTTTACAAGCAACGTCTCGCTAATATCCTATTAATAGGACTAAAATTCTCTTCTTAGCTTTCAAATTAATTTGGCAACCTTTATAGATAATTTGCAGTGGCATTTAATACTTCTTCATTAATCAAATGTTATCTTATTATTGTTGCATTTATTTTTACATTTTTTTTAATTTAGACAATAGGCTGAGAAATAGTAGGTATATTGAATGACAACATTAAACCCTTAACAGCCTGCCAGCAGTATACAAAAACATTTCTGAAGGTATTGTATTATAAATACTTTATTTTATGTTTTGATCAACCATCGGATATATGTATAGTTGTTCCGACAGCAATGCAGACTGTTAAAGGTTAATATTATCATTAATTATACTATTGCACAAGCATATTTGTAGTAATGTAAAAATAATAAAAAATTTATAATGTTACTAAATAAATATATATATAATGATCCATCAGATATTAGGAGATTTAATAATTTTGTAATCAGTATAAATTGTGTAAAAAGTATAATCTGATGCTTCTTTATCAAGAATAAGTACAATCAAGCAAGTGAAAATTTATTTAGCTAATTGCTAATTAATGTTAAATTGTTTTATAAACCATTATTAATCTGATTTTTCACACATAATTACCGACTTATTCTAAATTACTTCGATTTTCAGGTTTTCTATATCCTTACTAATATTATAAACGCGAAAGTTTGTACGTATGGATGGATGTTTGTTACTCTTTCACGCAAATGCTAGTGAATGGATTTTAATGAAACTTTACAATAACATATCTGAGCAAACAGTTCACAGCATCAGAATAAGACGTAGGGTATAATTTATAAATAATACATATTTTATGTACATCTGTCTGATAGTTACGTCTTCAGCCTTACCGACCCGAATGGCGTTGTGGGTAGTGTACCTGCCTTCTGCGCCAGAGGGTGTGCGTCCGATCGTGCGTGTGATGGACATAGTATTTTTCTAGTGTCTGGGTGTTAATATATATATAATATGTATTTATTTTACAAAAGAAAAGTATGTTTAAGTATGTTTATCAGTTTTCTATTACCCATAGTACAAGCGTTGCTTAGTTTGGGACTAGAGAATGTTGTGTAATAATGTGTCCTAAAATATTTATTATTTATTTATTTATTCTACGCAGACGTAGTCGCGGTTTCATCATATTTTTCAACCGTGCGACTTTATTACACTTTCCTGGTTAATAAACCCGGATTTAGGGTCCTTTGAACTTAAGCAGATAGCTTTTGGCCGCGGCATCGTGTCAAAAACATTGCGACAATCTTAATCTTATCTCGAAGTAAAGACCAGAGTAACATCGCACCACGCCAGAATACTTAAAGATGGAATTTTGGTAACTAAAATAAAGAGGAATAAATGTGAGTCAGTTTGATCGAGATGATAATTTAAATAAGAAACGACTTTATAAGTAACTAAGTAACAGTTCTAAGGGGGAGGCCTATGTTCAGCAGTGGACATCTTGCGGCTGATGAGGATGATGAAGTAACTAAATGAATGAAAAGCAAAGTAGAAGCAAAGTAGAAGCAAAATATTAAATACTAATAAGCGTGCATTTAAATAAATCCATGTACGAGTATGTTATTTTATATTTTAAATTAACCATTCTTTCTTCTCTACTATTTATTTTTGGATTACACATTCATTCTAATTAAAAATCCATCGTAGAGCCGCAAAGGATGCCGTAAAGATTGTTCTGCCTTTTTTCGCATATTAATATTTCGAAAATACTAACTAATATAATAAACGAGAAAGTAGTAATTTTATGTATGGATGGATGTTTTGTTACTCTTTCACGTAAATACTATTGAATGGATTTTAATGAAACTGTACAATTACATAGCTTATACATCAGAATAACACATAGGCTGTAATATATATATATATATATATATATATATATATATTATGTTTACCTGTCTTTCTGTCTGAATGTTACGCTTCAGCGTATTCTACGCAGACGTAGTCGCAGACAGCAGCTAGTAATACCATTATTCACTTTCGTTGAACAATAAAACGACATTCCTCATATTTCTTCTGAAAGATAACTACACAGGTACATAAAGAGAAGAAGAGCAGTCAGTATATATTTTTCTTTAAAAATTAATAATCATGTTTAATTATTATTCTTATGCCGCGTTTATTGTGTTTTAGCTGGTTTAGTACAAATAATTTAATGAATTTCAATTATTATTGGCAAAAATTACTTGTTAGCATATATGTATGTATAACATTAATATTTTTATTATAAGGAATATATTGAACTGAATATATTTAAAATATTAAATACTAAGTTATATGATATTTATTAAACCTAGACCACGTGGGATGGTACCTAGAATGCTAACTGCATTTCCTCAAGGAATAGTTTATATATTATAGCGTTTTTACAACCTTAGAGCGAGAAAAAAACCTGCCCAATACGTTAATATATTATATATAAATAAACAATAAATAAAAAATATTTTGGGACACATTTTTATACACAACGCTACGCAACGCTTGTACTATGGGTACTAGATAACTGATAAACATACTAAAACATACTTTTCTTTTGTAAACAAATACATATTATACATATACAAACTGAAAAGCAGTACTTTCATCACACTATATTTTAGTAGTGGGGATCGAACCCACACCCTCTGGCGCAGGAGGCAGGTACACTACCCACTACGCCGTTTGGGTCGTCAAACATAAAATGTATTAATGTAGTTAAAACATTTTAATTTTAAAATTGTCTATGCTGTTCTAACGGGCGGCTTTCCAGAATACAATCTCTTTGGTTGCCAACAAGCACGTGATTTGCATTATGACATAAAGTACACCAACCGGTTCGAGACAGCGATAAAATGTCTTTCTTACGCAACCCACCACCAGATTTAGAATCACTGTATTTTCTTTTAAATCATAAACATTTATGCGCACGGAATGCGTAGAAATTTAATTTGCGATATTTGAATGCAAACCAATGTAAATTCGGACTATTACTTGGCAAAATCTTTGTAAAAATGGTCGTTAACATATAATTTTTACTTCATTTTTGCGAATGAAATTTTGCTTAGCAGATTGTGTATAATTTTTGTATTCCTACTTTGCTATGTTGCTACGCTGATAATAATCACAGAGGAATTCCTGTACAGATATAATTTTCTCAGAACAATTCTCATATCTTATCAACTTGGTTTTAGACAGAATTCATAGAAATAACAAAATGCCGATAATGAAATTAGGCGTAATAATTTTTATATGTATATAAAGGACACCTCTTATATAAGACGGTTCATACTCAGCATACATTCTCCTAACTTCTTACTATATTCGAGTGCACGGGAGGTTTTGTCCAGCAATAGTACATATATAGGCCCTTGATCGCAACGTATATATAGGTAGATACGATGCGTATCTTAGGTCCCACCTTCGGAAGAGGAATGGAAGTGCGTCTACGTGCTCTTTGCGGAGGTGGGAGTGCGCAAATATGCAAAATGGTAGGAGAAAGCAAGGTTCTTCCGTTGTAGTAACCGCGGAGCATGTGACTCCGGTCATGTGCTTGTTACCGAGGAGGGGGCTCACAATGCTCGACGCGCCGTTGCGAAAACGCAACGTAAACTGGGCTGGGTTATGTTCGCGTTACGTCTTATTTTGTATTTTCAGCGTGTGTTTTATCGACACACAATGGGATTGCACAACACTAACTAACGCGTTTGTATTCACAGAAAATAGGGAGGTGGTTTTTATTAGCGTCACATGACCGACCGGTTCGGTCACGTGAGAAAAATAGAAAAACACACTTAAATATATGCGCGTACGAACAGAACTCCTTAAGTCTATTATTAATTTCCTGAATGCTTTAGAAGCATTTACCAACTCTTAGTACTTTCATGACGACTAAGTTCTCCTAAATACAGTGAACTAGTAAACGAAAAGAGCGATATAATTTATAATTTTATTAAATCACACGTAAAAGTTCGAACGATAATGTAAGACAACTATTAACGTCCGTATATAAATCAACAAAGGATTTTAAAATCAGTTAAATTTTTAAGTAAATCTTATGGACTCAATGCATTTCCTGATTTCAATTTAATTAAGCTTTTAATTATGAGTTTAATTTGTTAAGCTTCAAGGACTTAATGCCGTCTGTGACTTAAAACTGCGGAGTCTGATTCAGTTCCCTGTTTATCCTATTGTTGATTAACTCTGTTATGAACCAGCTGTCGGATTATAATCTTTGATTTTAAATTTACGTACATATGAGTATACAGCAATATCACGAAATTAATAATATTTGTCATTAGAAATGATTGTGTTTATTTAGTTTTTTTTAACTCAAGCTAGGAAACATAGAAACAATAAGACCAGAATAAAGATGTCTTTCTAAGTCAACTTGGATAATGACTGAAAATTACTTCAAAATAAGTTATTTCAAACGTCAATAGGATGTGGAAGTGCAAACCAAACGAAGGGTTTGTTACGGGAAGTTGACTCCTGGATGAGGTCATTGACATTATCACTAAGGCTTTAAAAAAGTATTTTTAATTTCTAACTGCGGTAGGGCCACCCAACAAACTTAGGACACTGTTGAGCGAATGGGCAGGTCCGTCCGGAGAAGTCACAGATGATGAACGACCTCACAGATGATCGGCGTGAAGTTGAAGTATATTTTCACGTTTCGTCTGGTCAGTGAGGTAGCCGGGGCCCACTTTTAACGCATATACAAACATGGGCGGCGGTATTCACTTAACATCAGGTGAACCACCTGCTCGCTTGGCAACTTCTCACATAAAAAAAAACCGCGAAGTCATTAGTGCGGAGTGTAGTGTAATAATACAAAACGAAACACATGAGACATTGTATAGAGCCCACTTTTAACATAAATAAAAGCCAAGCTTTCGTCGAATATGTAGCTTAAAAAAAAATTTAAGAATACAATAATAATTGTGAGAAATAATAGAAAAAGATATATTCGCAAGCGTGCCACTCGTCGAGATTAAATTTGAATAAGCTCATATACATGTGCCGCTAAGAAAAACCTTGTGCCTGCAATCGAGCCGGATTAGACATTTATCTGCCTACGCTCGCGCCGTTGTACATAAAACGTTAAACAAAAACTCACAGATGGCCTATTACTCACAGTTATTACTAAGTCCTGTTTCCATGGCGTGAGCGGGGGTGATTATCTCAGAGTCTTTGGTCGGTTATGCTGCGAACGGGAAATAAGTCACCGAACTTTGAATTAACATTTTAGAAGTTATAATAATAAAGCTTGTAATGTGCAGATGTGTTTTGGATACTAATAAAGATTATTAATATATTATTGTTATAGGAAAACAAGTGCGTTAATGGAAATTATGATCACAACATAACAAGTAAAACTGTCCGAATTTATAGAAATTGTTACTCATCATTAATGGTAATGTATGGATATTATATTGTAAAAATTTTGTCGTTAACTTTGTTATTTATTCTTTATTTATTTATTTGTGTTTTGTTTTAATCTATTCCAAGAAATGATAAAAATTATATTTTTTTCATGTAAAATCTGCACAAACTGTGTACAAAAGTGTGTCGTAACAGAAGATTGTCCAATTACAATGACAACAGAAAGATGTTAATAAAATATATATAAACTGTATAAAATTGAGTAAAATAATTATAATTATAAAACTGAGCGAGCTTATTAAAAACCAGAATGATGGAGTGATCCCTGACTAATCTCTTTCCCGATTTTTGTACTAGATAACATGACTATATTTGTAAAAACACGGCAATATCCTTATAAAAATTCAGTCACTTCGAGTGTTTAATTTAAGAAAATGACAAAAGTGCAATACCTCTATGTCTTTAAACATTGTGTATCAGATGTGAAGTAGAAAATGTTATAACATTACACAATCGAACCTATAAAGGATGCAGGCGTAAGACGACTAAAGTGACTAACTAAACTTTGACTTTGGTCTCACTACCAGCAGGGCAAGACCGTACCGCACCCAATGGGTCCATCCACTTTTCAGATAAACTCACTGCCTCGCTACTTACTCAACATACAGTAAATAGCCATCAGAGGTGAGGAATGACCATCAAGTCTCGATGTTTACATAGTCAATTTAAGCTAAAATTACAAAGGGTAGCGCTGGTTTAAAGTTATAATATAATAAAATTTAGTATTGCAGCAAGCTATAAAGCTTGTACTGGCAGCTAAAGCGTGCAACGATAAAGTAAACTTTGACGTGAACAGTGATGCAACATACAGCTCAGGTGAGCTCGAAGATATCGTGGTATCGTCCCCATCGGAAATGTCAAGGCTGGCATTGTCTCGGAGGCGGTCACATGATGATGTGACCGCCGACGACTCACGTGACTCCGAGCTTGGCCAATATTTATGTTGTTCCGATTACTAAGTAAAGCCGCCCGCCGCATTCCGATAGAGGCGGCTGCGACGCGAACAAAAGATTAGCACACATCCTTGTCTGTTGCCGGATTTAGTATAAATGTGAGGATTATTACTGTTGTCAAATGTCAATACACTACTTGTATCCATGATCATTTATAGTACAGTAAAGTATCAGATTGTTGTATACGAACCTAATCTATCGAATAGGTGTTTTACATCAAGAATATCATAAAGCTTATATGATTAAATAATAACGTTCAAACATTTAATATAATTTTATATATTATTAACTATGCGAAAAACAGGAAGTATATTTAGTAGATGAGTCTGTATTAAATAAATTCAACCCTAAATTTCTAATTTTTATCAATTATGCTAAAGTTATGTTCTTTTATTACTTATCGAAGGAGATGCATTAAACTTCATATACTAATTAAAGTATTGATTTCTTGCTTTACTATTCTCAATCAGTAAAATAGTTTCATTTAATACCTATTTTAATATTTAAAATTAAGCACGTTTGCCTTCAGTTTACGTTCTTTGCACTTTTTCTCGACAAGTGAAATGACATTTATCAAAGTATTTAACATTAAATGGTAAAAAAAAAACATATCCTATAAATATACTGAACATAAATGTACGTACAACGGCTGGTAACAGAATAACGCGTATAGCATAATTATGCTATACGCCTTATTCTGTCGTCTACATTTGTTATCGTCGCAAATAAATAAAATGGATGAAATAAATAATGTCTCTGGTGTAGAAGGCGAATCACTATGATTTGCGTTCAAATAGCTAAGAAATTACTTGTCGATAGCATGATTTTTTAAAGACACGGTTTGGCCACGCGGTGGCTTTGGATTTTGCACGAATGCGCAGGCTCGTCCGTTGATCTACCGCCTCACAGAAAACCGTCGTCAAGTGGAAGTATAATACTTTTGCGTGTCTTCTGGTAAGTGAGGTAACATGGGCCTACATATTTTAACGTTGTAGGTATTGTAGATGTCCATGGGCGGCGGTAATCACTAAACAGGTGAACCGTCTGCTCGTATATAACTTTTCACATAAAAAAATCAAGTTAACTGGCTAAGCTAGGTAGATTTATAAGAACGTACAAATGTACCATTTATTTGTAAATCAAAAGAATAGAAAATCGAAATTGCTGTATTCCTCATTATTATTCTTAAAGCGCGTTCAAAGGCTTGATCACATTTTGGCACGTAGCTTTCGTAGAAGCGATTTACGTTTACCAATTGAACAGATTTCGTTACACTTTTCATTCTTTCAAGGTCCACGCTGACGGTGTGACTTTCAACTTGAAATAGAAAAATAGTAAAGTTACTCAACCGATTACGTATTTTCAACGGATTATTGAATCAAGTCTTTATAAAAAAAATACTATTTCTAGTTTACAACACTATGGTAAGAAACAAAGGATATTTATAATGCTAATATATTTTTAAGTATAACAAATGTATAAGACATTTTATTTCGTTGCGACATCGCGGAAACTCCAATCAATTCAATAGTAATTTAATCAATTTACAAAATTAATAACTTAAATGATATAATTTAATTTTATAACATTGTTGACTATTTTTTTATTTAAGTATTTACTTTGATATTTTATTCCTGAGTAATATGTCCTCAACCCCAGTGATGAAAATTTAATAACAATGACGTAGGCACGAAACGGAAATTCTAAGATAAGGATTTGAAATAAAAATTCTAATACTGATACTTCTAATTCTAATAAGTTCAACCGAATTCTTTCTAACTTTTATCTTCACAAAACCTATCATAATATCTACTCTACAAACTTTTGCTATATCAAGTAACGGCTTTAAGCCGACCACTTATAAGAACTTTTCAATCGCATTATATTGTGTTTTCTACAGCGCCATCTGCATTATATGTGAGAAATGAAAATAGTGAACAATAACGCACTTATAATAGAATCATCGTAATATCAAATTGTACAACTAGATGGCGTGATTTGATTGTGATCGTGCAATTTTTGTAAATACATATCAAAATTATTGTAATAATTTAGTAATTTCTCGGAAAGTATTGAAATGAAACAAATAGGCTTTAATAAAAAACTATTTTGAAAAGTATAAAAAGAATTGCATGCTTTTTCAAAACGATTCCTTTTTGGGCCGCACGCGTTGATGTCTAAAACAGAACACAAAACAAAAAGTAATGTGGAGAAAGTTTCTGCATTAAAAAGTTAATCTAAGCCTGTCGGTAAATTACTTTATTAAATAAAAAATGATAATTACAGACTTATGAAACGAAGTCTATTCTCGACCTTCTTTTTAAGCTTTAAATTTAAATTCTCATAAGAGGAAAAAGGAAAACGCATTTATTACTAATTTAATAAGAAAAACTATTGTGAAATAACAATTGAAATCTTTGATAAGTATATTAAAAGCGGAATGTAAATATAACGGACACATTTTATTCACAAATAGCAGACATACGATCTACTTTAATATGTTGGTGGTAACCTCTATTCATTGTTCACGGGGACAGGTCCTGGCACGTGGAGGCCCGCGGACGGAAGTGAGAACGCGAGGAAGAAAGTACCGGCGCGCGCAACCGGTCGCTTTAGTGGGACAATCGAGTTCAAACCTGGCGGCGTTCGGCCGAGATGCCTAGGAACATTAGAGTGGAGCGACGCGACAACCAGTACTGTCACGGACGGACATGATTAACGTGTCTACGGTATTTTTGAATGCTGGTCTTATAGTAAACTAACTATAATGACAATATCCTATCTGAAATGTTAATAACAACCCGCGACTTTGCCCAAGCCTTCGGTTCACCTGATGCTAAGTGATAACCGCCGCCCATGGATATTTGAAACACCCGTATGGTTGCATATGCGTTGCCATCTTTTAATAAAGTGGGATCCGGAAACTCAGAAGTATCACACTTCCGCTTCACTCAGATCTTCTGTAAATACTTAGCCAGACGGACCTGTCCATTCGCGCAACAGCCGAAACTGTTGCGTAGTCTTACTACCTATTATATTAATAGCTACACTGCTCGCTCCACTTCTCCACGACATGAAAAGACAGACATAAAGTTATCGCAATCAATTTACAGGCATACAGGCGTCTTTCCGCGAACAACGGCAGACATTTATATAGATATCACAATAGATGACGTACAAGATTGGATTGAAGCAATCAACGGTTAAAAGGAGTCTCTTTATAACACACATATTATTTTATTATTTTCACACATTTATGTTCCTGATGTTAGCCAGTGATGACTCGGTGGAGGCCGTTTCTAAGCTATTGTCTTAGGCGTTGGAGAACGTGGGTTCGCTTCCAACACGGGTCAAGTAATGGTGTGACCCACAGATAATTGTTCCTGATCTGGGCGATTGTTTCCCATGGAGGGTGGACGTTAAGCATGCGGTCGGTTGTAAAAACATTGCAAAAAAAATGTTCCAGACTTAACAGTTTTAACTCGTTAATAATAATTGTTAATAAATCGCTGGTTATAATAGTATTATAAAACATGCATTGAATGTTAGCCTAGTTGAAAGGTTGTAACGCGTATTAATTGTTTAACTTGCGAATATTGCAGCAAATTTTGGGTCTCATAATATCGTAATTTTATATTATGTGGAAACTGGGATGACAATAATTGTTGCTATTATTATTGTGGTGATTTGCACGTACAGTATGTTTTACTAAGAATATATATGGAATATTAAAAAAGATCTGTATTATGTGCTTTATTTATATATTTATAAAATTCTTAAATTAGCAATGTATATATAATTATAATAGGTCAATTACTTCGAGGAATGGCTTTTTACTGTAATTCAATGATACCAATAAAACACTGGTATTCCCTCAAATCTTTAAATATACTCCTGTGTATTTAAAGTAAAATTAATAATAGTTTTTCCATATTAAAGAATTATAAATTTCATTAACTATACTAATAAGTTGAATTACAAGTACGGCAATAGAACTTTAACAGAAAATATAATTTAATAGAAAATGGGTAATAGATAAATAATAGAAAATAGAAAACAGATAGAACTTTTAATAGAAGGTTCGTTAAGAGTTTGAGAAGATTTCGTGGAACGCAACTTATACATAAATACGTTCTTGGTGAAAAGTGAAATCAGATAAGTTATCTCATTCGTTATATATATTTGTGGCTGCGATGGTCAGAGTGATTTTATTGTTATCACTTGCGCCAAATGTGGCAAATACCCGTAATAACCAGCAAGATAAATGTCAAACCAAAGCCTTGATGTAGAAATTGTAAATAAAACCACATAAAATCTAAAATATAAACTACTCAAAAAAATCTAAAAACAACTCAAAATAAAACCACTCTATATTAAAAAGGTAACAGAGACCCAGAGTAAGAAATAAAAAAAATAAATTGTCTCCCAGGGAACTGGGAATCACTGTATGAAGAAATGGAATTACTCGTACAAGTCCTCAATCAAGTTAGGATAGTATATAACTCTAATATAGCACCATATTAGAGCTATGACTACTAACAGTTAGTCCCTACTTGGAAGTAAGTGATATGAGTGAAAATTGTATTGACATAACACAGCGCGTGTACCGTAACTCTGCGACAAAAATCTTTGCACTATTCCGTTAAACGTTTTCAAGCAGTTAGAGCGTTTAGCACATAAAATCGCTTAGACGCACTAGAGAATATGTAGAGTGATGACTTGTTATACCTCCCGGTCTTTGTATTCCGTTGTAATGATGACACTAATTAATGTGACTGGTCATAACTCTCATTCCTAACGGAGGTAGGCAAAGAAATGTATTAAAATTCACCGGGGCTTGTTTTTCCCAAAAAGTGACAAGTTGTGAGTAAGCTACTGTACAAAAATCACAAAAATTGGTAGGGCAATTTTTGCAGAAGAGAAATCCAGTTGGAAAGAGTATGTAATTGTAAAGAGCGTGATTTGTCACTTGAAGACATTACTATGAACTATATATACTATTAGTATATATATATTATTGGTATATATATACTATTGGTTCACTCATCAGGGAATTGAAAGCACGAGGTCAGTTAGGGAATCGACTGTCATAAAAACTTTGTACCATAATTTTGAGTGTTATTTTTGTTTGTGTTACTCACGACAATTTTGATAGCAGTTTATATATATAAATATTTTTGAATCCGGCAATTCTTTTAGTATGCCCCACGTATTTGGCTAAGAAGATATTATTTCAAGGAGTAAATAATTTTTAGCCGATTTATTATTTATAAAATATACCATATTAAGATCAACGTATAAAAATTTGTGGTCGTTTTTATCGGAAATAGTTTATTCATATAAAGGTTTTTCTGTTCGCATCTTTTAACAAACAAGCTCAAACTACTTTCTGTTAATATCCATACTAAAAATCGAAGTACTCTCTAAAACCATAAATTCTTATACTTTCCTTGCTTCGGTTATATAATGCTCGAGTTATGAAAAAGTATGGCATCAGCGAAATTAAATTTACAAAAAAGAAAGTGAGAATCGACCGAAACGACGACATTAGCGCGGCGAATAACGCTTTAGCAAAAATTACCACCTTTAAAATTTCGTAACATTTACTTTTGATACAAACAACGAAGTTATTACTGATTGAATTTTATTTTAATAGTAATTGTTGTAATCACGTTACAACACAAACATATTTACTGTTTAAAGGAAAAAGGTCAGTACGAACTTAAAGGTTTAAACTAGGTGGCATTTCCAACGAAAGTCAAAGCAATGGGAGTAAGGAATGAATAATACAAACATTTAGAGTAGGCGTGCCACATTGTGAATAAATTATCCTTATATCGTCAGGCTGCCATGTATGATTGTCAAAATAGATTTTATTTATGTCAAAGTAGTTGTGTTGCAGGACCACATAAAATACAATAACATATAAAGATTTAACACCCACATTTTGAGCGATTCGAAGTATACTGTAATTTTGCCGCTTTTTCTCCGCTTAGTAAAAAAAGAACGCTGTATTTATTTTTATTATCATTTCTAAGTCTCAGCCTTTTCAGATTCATTCTCATTGTTACAAATTGAATAAAGTAAAGTAAAGGAACAGCCTGTACTTGTCCCACTGCTGGGCAAAGGCCTCCTCTGTACTGATGGTATCAGGCCATAGTCCACCAACGGCTCCACTGCGCATTGGAGGATTTTACAATCTCTGAAATATTTTTTTTCTATTATTTTGAAAATATGCAGGTTTTCACACGATGTTTTCCTTCACCGCTGAGCACGTGATAAGTTGAATAATATTTTTTTTTCCAAAACGACTGTAATGTAGTGTTACTGTCACTGACATTTGTGTACGTTGGTACGGTGTGTCAATGTGAGTATTAGAGACTTGTTCGAGCGAGAGAAAGTCCTCGAGGTCCATTCACAAGCCGCATACAAATATTTGTGGCCGCCTACAATACCGAAAACGGGTTTAGACCTTTCTCGCTTTGGAAGCAACGTTGCGATATCAACCTGCACAATAATGCGTTTGGTAGTGAATGTTTCGTAGTTTTCGATTTTGCCTTTACATTTTACGATTACAATGTATGATCTGTTGTCGTTCGTTGTAACACATTTATTGCTAGTTTGTAACTGCGAAAATAATAAGAGACACCATAACGCAAACAATCGTTATTTATTTATTTATTTATTTATTTATCACCAACAAAGTACACACTGTGACAGAAGAATTATACAAGATATGCAAAAAAGTGATGAGTGGTACCTTAATTATAGGTAAAAACTACTTTACAACATTCAACCATTTAAGTATACAAGATTCCTTAAAAAGGTATCGGAAGAAAATTAACTAAAACCAAAATTTTTTTCACAATACACAATTCTCAAATGAAAGTGGTTGAATCGTCGTTCAAAGGAACCAAAGGCCAATGACCCAATAATTTTTCATGAGAAATTGTTACAGATTGTTTTAATTTTGTTGGCTGGTCAGCTTGTCAGAGTTATGAGTATTAAGCTTATCGCATCGATAGGCTTAAGATTTCGAATAACAGAATTCGAAACTTGGGTCTATAGTCCAGGCGGTGGCTACCAGGGTGGATAATCTTTCAACAGAGACAGTAAACTTTGATTGCCTAAATTGCGAAACAATGAAGTTTTTAATGATATATATCACTAGAATTTTATAAAACAAGTCTCACCGCCGCCTCTCTCTGTCTCTCTGCCTGAAAGAGAGAAAATACTGTACGGATTTTTCACCATTATACGGAACGGGTTTGGGTATTTAAGTACCCAAAATGACAACTCTGATAGTACTGATATTCAAACACTGTTAAAAATACAACTAGGTTTTAACAATTTACACAACATTCAAAAAAAAAACGAAAATATTTATAGAAACATTTAAGAAACATTAAAAATTTACGATGAAAAATGTAGTAGGCTTTGTAATAAATGTTTACGAAAACGAGATAAAACATTATGAATAATATCATTACTGTAATATTTTATTAATATGTCTGCAAGGATATATACTGTCATAAAGGTTAGTCATAAAAATGGCACCGTATATATCCGTTTTGCCACAATATTGTATCCGTTCCATTTTAAATAAGTTTCTCCAGTGTGTCATAACATTATTTTTTACCAAACATTTTAACAAGTTGGTTATTTCCCACTATATATATCTCTAAGTCTATAAAGTTACGTTATCAATTACATTTTAAATCTCATTTACATACATAACCTTAAGTGAAAGTTTGGGGCTGTTCCCCATACTAATGTGTAAAATGTTTTAAAATTCCAACTCCAACTGTATGGTGCTTACACTTTTCTCCAACGAAACATGCCGAGTCGACAAATAAATTGAATAAATTAGTCAATCGAACAGAACCAACCCCCCTTTCAAATGACCATAGATCAACTTACGCTTCTTTCAAACGAGTGAAGAATAATATAATTATAATATAAAGTCCTAAACGCGAACATAAGAGCAGATTGTCCAAAAGATAATCATAAAAAGAGAAAGGCTACACATTTTTTTATAATATACGAAAGTTGTAGATGTTTTGTTGATATATATTTCTATTTTGTGAATTATATTTATTTTTACGAGGTATTATGAGATGTTAAAAAAATATATATGTATGTTAAATATATATGTAACTTATTTAACAATGCAACTTATTCTGCCGAACATAATGAATGTTTGGAGAGAGACGGTATTACAATTTTTTTTAACTTAATTTTGTCGCGTCTGCGCTTTCCGTGATCTAGGTCCACAGTGGTTACCATCACTACTTTCCTTCCCTGCGTGTGTGACGTAACTCTATAAAAGAGAGTGCAGTGAAGACGCCGCCGCTATACCGTTTCCGTTCGTCAGGCTCGGCCATAGCGTCCCAGCCGCATAGAAGGACGCGGGCGGAACCCCTTCCGCTGGTGCCCAAGGACTCCACAGTGAAAAGTCAAAAGGTGAAGTGCCCATCAAGGGATACGTGGTGCCCGTGACGTGAACGTGATAGTGTTGTGTTGTGACGGCAACAGTGTCGCCGCGGCGCCGATGACTGAGATGATTAAAATGCTGCGTTTGTTTCAGATACGAGATGAGGTCTTTGTTGTTATTGGCAGCGGTGTGCTGCTTAGTGTTGTCGGCGTGGGCTAGTCCAATCTCGAGGCCGGAGGATGACAAGGAAGTGGGGAGACAGTCGGCGGCGGCCGCGGCACCAGCACCGGCGGCGTCAGCTGAGGACGACGACGATGATGATGACGACGACGACGACGATGATGGACTAGGGGGATTGGGAGGTACACATTTCTTTATATTAATATACACTAACTTATATACTCAAAAGATTTATATTTACCAGCAAAATTCAAAGAAAGAAGTAAATACTGAAATATAACTATTGTAATTATTACAATTCAGTTTTATCCCGAAGTCAATTTTGAGGATGGGATTTTCTATTGAAAAGTTCAAAAATGTGTCTCTTATGTAAAATTTCAGCGGGTAAACAATATGTAAACGGAAGCTAATTGACGTACACACATGTGCGAGGAAAAATACATAGGTGTGGCTTTATTTGTTAAAACATGTACCGTTGAATAGAACAGCTTTAACTGTAGTTCGTACCGAATAAGGCTTACCTTTGAGTTAGATTAACATAGTCCGCAGGTTAATCGATATTAAATCATCTGGAAAAAATGAAGTGCGTCTTTGAAACAACTGGCCACTAATTAGAAATTTCTAAAATATGTTGTAGGACAACAGAAATTGCATAGATGTTTGCATCGTTTGTAACACTTTGATTTGATTTTAATAATAGCTAAAATTGTTAATACAGGATGAATTAGAAAATAATATCGAAGGGCTCAATTTGTATAATTTAAAGCTCATTCCGTATAATTTCTACTAAAGAAACAATTTTTTAAAGAGATCCTCAAGTAATTTGTTTGACTAATTAGAAAATATTGAGACTTGCTTTATTGAACAGAAAACATTTTTTTTAATTATGCCTTAATAAAAAGAAAGAATTTCTTAATATTATACATGACTGCAACAGACACTAAAACAATTAATATAGTGAGCATATGCCATAAATCTTAAGATCATCTCGAAAGTGTTACATTCCATCGATAGAATGCTTAACAATTAGAACGTAGCCGGACTGTTGTGGTATGTGAGCCAAAGCGTGACAGGTGTTCTCATTTGATAATTAATTCAAACAGAAAGAGTCAATCAGAGAAATTGATGCTCCCCGACTTTCTACCTTCGAAAGCCCAGAGTTGGACGTTACGCGTTGATGCGATATCTCTGGACTAATCGATAACTTAACGATTCGTTTGTTTACAATTGACTTGTTACAATTGCTTTTATTTCTTAGAGAAGGTTTGAGTATCAAATATGTTTGAATGTTAAATAGAAAAAATCGACAAAAACAGTTTTGCCACAGATGTAATCAAAAAAGTGTTATAGACATAATTCCGATATTTTTTGTTCTATTACAGACGATGATGATGACGATGACGAGGAGGACGATGATGATGAGGAGGAATCAGACGACGATGACGAGGATGACGACTATTTGGAGAGGTTCTTCGATGACATCTTAGGAGGAGGTGGGTTTGTATTATAGTGAAAAATCTAAAATGTTCACTGAAAATTGTTTACAACATCGACATTTAATCATGCACTTGAATCCACAGAGGATGACGACGATGACGATGACGAACCAGCCGCGGTCCAACCGGTCGTCGCTCCGGCTGACGTTGTCGCCGCTGCGCCAGCGGCACCCGCAGCGTCGGCTGCTTCCGCTGAAGAGGTGTCTACAGTCGCCGAGGAGGCGGAATCGGCGGAGGGAGAGCCAGCCGCCGAGGGCGAGGAGCCCGAGCCAGGCCAGAAGGAGCCCGCCAGTGCCGAAGTCGAGAGCCAACCGTCGAGCGCCGAGATCGCCGCCCCCGCCGCATCGGACGCCGAAGACGAAGACGACGATGAGGAAGACATCACCGACGCTCTGGACCCCGAGGACGACGACGACGACGACGACGACGAGGAGGATGACGAGGACGAGGACGACGACATCTCCGACGCCCTCGGCAGGAACATCTCGAAGCACTCACGTGAGTCAAAAAAGTTGAGCGCGAAGCACGCGGCGCACGCGAAAAAGGGCGGCAAAAAGGCGAACCATGCCGCTAAAGTAAAGAAAACCAAAGCCACACCCAACGCTGCGGTCGCTGATCACAAAAAATTCAGATAGTGAATCCAGCGGCACCACCAGAGAGTTCCCCCACGGTCCCCTCCTCTAGCCTTAGTTATTTATTGACTATTTATTTATTCTATTTAATTTATTTAATTTATTAAGTGAGCGTGCTTGATGTGTGACAGTGTAAGTATGATGCATAAAGAGTCAAAGTTAAATTAATGTCTAGATCATGTCACAATGATTTCGTGGCAATTTATATGAAATAAATCTGTTGTTCTAATTTCTTGTGTTAAATTCATTAATTCACCTTACTAAGTCAGTTGTGCGTTTGTATGAAATCATGATATTACAGAATGAGCCATCGGTCAAAATTCTAGTTGACTATTAAGTTTGTCCATTGAAAGTGACATTATCTAGTAATTAATTTATAAAGTTAAGTTTACAAAATAAAAATATTTACTAGTCAATTCTATTCATTTACTTATTCAATTCTTTTAAAGTAAAACCTTATTTTTAAGAAAGAAATGAATGAAATTCTACTATCCTACACTAATTTTATTTATTTATTTTGTCCATAGTACTTATCTAATATTATATAACATATATATAATGTAGTGATTCAAATATATTTAAGTAGCTAGCTTTTTGACCGATTTATCTATGTAATATAACGCACAACCCAATCATAAACCCTATTCCTTATTTCCCTGATGTGTAGTTAATATGAAAGTCCGCCACAAGCGAGACTCCATTTGGCGATAGTGTCAAGCTATCGTGGATCGTGGTCTAGAATCCGGCGTGCATTCAGCGCAACAAACTGTGAAGTGGGAACAAGTTTAACGTGGATGTGTGTTAAGGGGTCGACATCGGACATCGCGTCCGACGCCCGCTTACTTTCTCATCCGGAGTTGGGTCAACGACCCAGCCCGATTTCAATACATGTAGCCTTGACACTTTCTTTGACCTTGGCTCCTCCAGCACTCGGCAGCAGGAATGGCCTCTACAGGCTAGAAAGTAAGTAACAAAACGTAGAAAGCGGCGCTGAGATAACATTTACTTTACTCTCACTGGACGACGAATCTACCGCGAAATTTGCGTGCCTCGCGTCCGGCCCAGTGAAAACGACGTAATGAGATGCGAAAAGAGAAATTTTAAATGTTTACCGTCGTGAAATTCTGGGGAGCAGCGAGTGGTCACATTCGACCTGAATGGAACTCGTTTGTTACCGGTAATGCCTAAAACGGTCTAGCCAGTTGCGGTCGATCGTAGATTTCACGGAAAAGAAATTCTATATCCCATCATAATATCGCCGGAAAATACATTTCCATCACAAATTTGTTTTCAATGACCTTGCGTAAGATTCAGCAATCAAATTCACGCAGAACATCTTAAAGAGCGTCGTGATATTTGTTTTAGACGTGTGTAATCGAAAACAAATTGAATTCCCGTTCGCCGAAGCTAGCTGTTCCGTAATTAGGTTTCTTATATGTGCGCGTCGGCACGCAATTTCTTTTACGTGTGGAAAATAGAAAATCCATCGTTGAGTGGTCCTATTAATTGTTGCTGTCCATTAGAATTCAAACGGGGCTCGCGGAGACTGGAACAGTTACTTGTTCGCGTGCCTTCACAACGTGCTTTGAATCGACTATTTGATATATTAATTTTCTGTCAGCTGAATGCTTAATTATATCGTCTGACTTACAAGACTCGCATGCTTCAGAGCAATAAATATGTAATTATAAAAGTAAGTCACCTTGCGATACCGTGGATCGAGAAATAGAACAAGCGAGCTTTCTATTGGGACCATAAATGAATTAGCTATAGAAAATTTTAAATTTGTAGGTCCTATAGAGACTTTGTAAGTCTTTAAGTAGCCGTGATAGATCAGTGTCCGGGCACTTTGATTTTGAATTTGAATTTAATTTGAATTGGATTTTAAACTTTGATTTTAGCATTTGATTTATCGGTGCCGGCACCAACAATATTGTTAATTGCAATTTTAAGTGCGCATTTCGAACTGATACGAATGCGAAAACTTTCTCGACGTCCTTTCAAAAAACACTACCGTATATACGTATCCGTGTATACCATTTAAACTCTGGCGCTTTCCGAAATGTCTGAATATCCTCGTGACCAAAAAGTAGGTTTTCATAATTATTGCGTAGGTACTGATTTTTCACAAGCTCAACGTGAAAGGTTAAGACTATACAGGCATATTTTAAAAATAACAATAAAAAATGTTTCGAAGATACGTGAGCTGCCCATATATATATTAGGCACAGTACCCCACGTACTGTGCCTAATAACAACTGAACGAAAAAAGAGGATTTTTTACAAAAAAAGTAAAGTGCCTTCTTTTTCTACTTTATGGACATTTACCATGATTCCGTTATTTGACGACAGTTAACGAACAGCTCGATTATTAACGGTTTTTGCAATAATTTATGTTTTTAAAAATTTAATGGCTATAATATGTTCACAAATGTGTTATTTTGTATTGCATATACCGTGAAAATTTAAAAGCCTTTATTTTTCTTTCAATACATAATCGTATCTTTTGAAAACAAAGTCAGAATATAATTGTTAAATCAAATATTAACCGATATAGGTCGGGTACATTTTGTGGAGAAAATTGAGATTCATTGGCGTTTGCGTCTTGAAGTATTTGAATAGCGGTAAGAAACATGTTCAAAGTTTAACTGAACGCTGTATCGAATTAACTTTATACGTACGACCAATAAACTGAAGCTCATAGAATATTTCTGAATAAAGAAAACATTATTATTTCTACCGTAATAATTTTTTGCATTTACTAATACTAGACAACAAAGGAAACTGTTTGGGTATCTTAATAGTTTAAATTCATTAAATTTCAAATACTAAATGGTATTTAATGAGGTCATAGGACAACTGAAGTTCATGTATACTGAGCTTGGAAACATATGGCGTATAAAGATGCCTCCGTTTTGGATAAAATAAAAATTAAAGAACCGTTAAATACAAAAAATGCGTACTTATTGTTAAATTGCCAAACTATATTAACATAAGAAACTATATTAAATGAATTGTTAACAATTGTAAGAGAAATAAAACTTCTCTTTTCGAATATTTCTTTATTAAAAGCAATGATTTAAGACCTTTGAACTAAATATTTATCAATGTGTAAGCAAAGTTCAAATTTTTAAATAAGCAAGTTTAAGCTTTTGATTAGTTAGGGTTTTAAGTATAGCACAGAATGAATCGAAACATTTCACGGGTGATTTGCAACAAAGGGTGAGGGTTTGATCCCCAATACTGAAGAAATAATCTGTGATGAACATTGTGTTTTTGTAGTATCTGGATGTTTATATATTTATAATATTTATTCATTTTCAAAAGAAAAGTATGTTAATCACTTGTTTGTTACACGCAGTAAAGGTTTGCTTACTTTAGGACAAGACGTTAAGTAGAAACGTGCCCTGAAAATATCATTTTACAGTTGTAAAATATATCCGCGTAAAATTATAGACAGAAATAATAGTACGTGATGAATATATAACCCACCTACGCTTCTTTAATTACGGTACATTAATAAAGAAAAATTAGGTGTAATAAGATAATTAATATAACTTTATTTTTATTCATTAGGTAGAGTTTAATAAATGAAATATACTTAGGTTGCTAATATGAGATGGTATGCAAATGAAACTCAACTGAATATTTCTATTTAAATTAGTGTAATTACGAGGCAGATTCTTAATACAGGAGGTAAAAATAAAAATAAATCCTTTATGTTCTTTAGTAACTCACTAATTAGTATAGAATGTTGGAACAGAAATTTAATTAATTTAAAGTAACATTTATGAGTATACAGTTTCTCTTCTTCGGGAATCTTACAAATAAAACTAAGTAAAGTTGGAATCGCCAAACCGATACGAATTTAATTTTTCATCTATAAAAAAATTATCGATTATCGCGTTCGAAATCCTATTAGACAAATTGTCAAAGGTTTGTTTTACAACAAACAAACAATGTTTATTCCTTAAATGGTGATTATCAACGATAAATTTTAAGCAATAGTCAATGTAGAGGTTGTTTATTGAATTTGCTTCATCAACATGTTTTTCTGAATACATTTATTTTTGGTTACAGGATCACTGAAAGAGGAACCCACGAAAAAACCCGAAGTTCCCGCTGTGTACATAGTTAAATACAACCGATTTGTAGATAATATTCTTGAGAAGATGAACGACATTTTAAGACGATCATACGACCCTGTCAATGTGAAACTTCAGCCAATCGACGCCAAAAAGAAGAGTTCTAAACCAAAGAAGAACAAGACAAAAACTAAGTCTAAAAAGTAAGGAATAATTAATTAATAATAAGTAATATTAATTCGATTTTAAAATTTCCATAAAATAATACTTTTTTTATTCGTAATGTGTATTCGGCCGGTTTCAATATCCTATCTACAGATAGATTTGTTTACTGGCGATAGGTGTTTGACATTAGCTCCATAATACAATTACGTCAAAATTCTACCTCCAGTAACAAAATCTATCTGTAGATAGAATATTGAAACGTCGTTAACAATGCGAATTGTCTGTGATCATGGGAAAACCTACGCACGGTAACAATTAGGGTTCCGTACCCAAAGGGAAAAACGGGACCCTATTACTAAAACTCCGCTACCTGTCTGTCTGTCTGTCCGTCTGTCACCAGGCTGTATCTCATGAACCGTGATGGTTAGATCAACCCCAATTTAGACTGGAAATGTTGATATACTATTAAAATAATATAATTTTATAATATTTTTATTTTTAAGCAAAACCAGCAGTAAAAGGAAGCAAACCACTCGCGCTGGTAACTCGGCAGCAGCGACTGATAACAAAACCATCGAAGCGTTAACGAAAACTAACGAGATAAACGATGTATCTGTAGTCGATAAGAAAATCGAGGAAACTTTAATGGAAACACCTCAAAAGGTCGATTCGAGAGTTTTGAAGGAAAATACTGATACCAAAAGCGCGAAATCCAGACTGACCACGACGGGAATTAAGCCTCCCAACAAGACGACTAAGCCGAAACCCAAACCGCCGGCAAAAAACCCGGCAACTACAAAGAAACCCGTCACTAAGAACAAGACTAAAACAGGTCAAAAGAGTAAGCCGAGAGCAAAGGGCACTCTTTACGGATTGTCCTCATTGAGGAGAACTGGAGATGTTGCAGTCAATATCCTGTCAGATCACACTACTGTGAAGAGTAACTTCGCTGTCGGACCGCTTATATTAAAAGTTGAGAAGGAGGTATGTCTACTCACATAACTCCCAAGGTTAGGTTAATATTAAGACTCAAACAGTAATATTAAAATTCAAAAATAAAGGACAGATCAGTTACACATATACAAATGATTTTCTTTTATCTAAAGATTTTATTAGATTACGTTTAGAGTAAAAGTATTGATCAATATTTCTCTATTTTTTTAACTTAAATATTACCTCTATAGAAGATAATTCTGCATGGAGGAGTTTACCAAACGAAAATTGAACAAGAAAAAACAATGGCATCTGAAAAATTTTCCGAGTAATTTTCTGTAGGTAATTTTCCGCGTGGCAGTCGAACCAACCACCCACGAACACGCAGTTTTTAACCAATAGTTATCGGTCTATCGCTGAAAAACTATGCTAACCAATTCATTACATTGTATCGTCCATTTTCTTTTGAGGCGAAATGTAGGTTCCTCATTGAATAAGAAAGTATTTTCTCGCAGGTGGGTCGCGGAGCCAAAAAAGAAATTAAATCTGCTACAGCAACTACTGCTGAAATGACAGGAAAAATTACCTTACGCGTAAACAATCAAGGAGTTGCCACATTAAACTCGATAAAGGTTTTGCAGCCTAAGCAGGTATGCTTTATTTTCATAACTATATAATAATGTATGTTTGAAGATGGTTTTCTAAAATGTGTAATAAAATTAGGTTATTTTACGAAAAAATATATCGGATAAACGAAAAAAACATGTACATATATGTATATGTAAGTATATATATATGTATATATAAGTATATATATATGTATATATATATATATATATATGTATACAACAATTGCTCGTTTAAAGGATAAGATATATCTCTCGTTGGTTATATTGCAATGCTATCAGCGCCTGTAATTATAATGACACTAACGAACAATAGATATATCTTTAATTATTTTTGTCTATAATAGTCTACATTATGTTGGTTTTCATTAAATAAACAATTAAACTTGATAACACTCTCTTTCCGTAAGATCGAAAAATATTATGCATATTTCATTACTCAGTAATTTGTATCTAAATGTAATTTGCAAAATACACGATTTACCAAAAAAAAAAAAAACACCGAGCAAAGCTCGGTCCTCCAGGTTCTAATGTTTATTAATCAAAGAAAAAGAAATACTGAGTTAAAGCTGAGTATAAGCTATATTATGGTAAACTTTCATTAGAAGCGATTCAGTAGTATTTGCGTGAAAGAGTAACAACCTTCCATCCATACATACAAACTTTCGCGTTTATAATATTAAGTAAAGATTTCTTTTATATTTACTGTAGTAATTATTGTTCGTTTCATCAGGTCCGAGTCGACAGTAATCACGAGCGCACGAGGGAATTGGTTTGGCAACGCAGCGCGAGAATTGCCCATGTTGTGTCGGAAAAGTTGTTGTCCGCCTCCAAGCCAATGTTTCTCCAGCAGTACAAATAACGTAGTCCAACTAACTGTTAACTATTGGCCGTCTTTATGTAGACTGACCAATAGAGACGTAGCTTTAAAATCGATTGTAAACTAGTTCGATTATTGTGTCGCTTACAAAGCCTGGGAGTGGTATATCTGATAAAAGAAGGGCATCTTCGAACTGGTTTATATCTATCGAATTCAGTAGCACTTGAAGAAAATTTCGATTACTGTTTTAATTGTGTTAAGTTGACGGGTAAATCGGCTGGGTGCAGGCTATTTATGGTTAAAGAACAAAAAAGTTAAAATTATGAATAAGTAAATGTATAGGTAATAGAACTTTTTAATATTTTACATTTTATAGTTACATGATACTCATCATTTAGTCAAAATGCATTTATATTCGTTAAGTAAATGGTGCTAAGACGTGCATAATATATCATATTATTTATTACAATAAAGTTCATATTCTTATGTTGTGTTTATTTAAATCATAAATAGAATACAATAACGCTTTATCTAAGAGCTCGACGTGGCAGAGGAAATAGAGGAAGAGATATTTTGGAATAATATCAAATGGACATACGTCAACCACAATTTGCAACAAAGTTGTTGGTTTATAGAAACGTCCTCTTTTTTAATACAAATTTTTGCGCCCCATATTTATGATTCCACTGTCAATCACTCGCTGTGCACATATCCAAATTATATATCAAGTGGAATCATTTATTACTACAGTTGTATATTGATTCTTATAGTTCTGTAATCCTTACTCAGAGTAAATCAATATATACAAACAACTTATGCTATTCAGTAACAACTAAAGAAAATTTCTATTACTATTTTGAACGTGTCTACTAGGCTCGAGATTTAACTGGGTGCAAGGCTAGTTATGGTTCTTCAACAATCATATGGAATATCAACCAATGCATTTACAATCTACGGGTGCATCGCCACTTACGCCAGCCAGTGATGCCGATGGATAAAATTATCAACTTTAGTGTTAGGTGATATATTTATGGGCCTGTATATTATGTTTATTATTTATGTACGTTTAAAATAATATATTGAATGCCTGAAACAGTAAGATAATGCTTTTTAGTAATTTTTTTGCATTATCTTTGAATTTTATGAACAATGAATGATTACAGGATATAGAAAGTAGATAAAGAAGGTTCGAAAAAAAAAACAGTTTGTGTATATTCAATTCACTTTATAAATAAGTAGGTAACATAAATTGTGAACTTAAAATTAAATATTCAAATCATTTATAAATTACTAGGTGACTCGTATTCTTTTCTTTTCGATTTCTCGTATACGACGAGTTTATAATATTGTATAATTTTTTTTAGGATATATTAAAAACAAATTTTCTAGTCAGACCAGAAGAAATATATCTTTGGTTAATCCGTTATAGTAACTATTAGAAAGTATAGTATCTAAGTAACCATTCAAAAGTCAAGTCACTGGAATTTTTAACGTTAAATAAATAATTTAACATCAAAAAACATCTACTAAACATATTATCCCTAATGTCGTACATTATTTTTTTTTTACAAAAATCCCTTCGTTTTGTTACATCTGGTTCTAACACTTTTGTTATTAATTACTCTATGGAAAGACTTATCATCATCATTCACTACTCTATGGAAAGAATTATCGACTGTTAGGCATTCTAAAACGGTTAAGGAAACATTCACGCTTCCTTGATCAAGTGTCGTTGATCTCGTTTTTACTGTTTTTTGATAGCTCAGTCGTGTTCGTGATTCTCAACAAAGGTACGTTATTCTGCTCTTCGCCTATTACGATTTCGGTAACGTTTTCGTCAAGATTTTGTAAGGAACTATATGTTGGCGGGGGTGTCAAGTTGTTTTCTCTCTTGTCTATGCGCGGCAACGCTATCTGGCCGGTGAGATCTGCAAACAATATTGAACCTTATTGCATATATGGAAAAATCAGTAAAGAACAGTCTTTGTTTATCTAATCAAGAATTAATAGAATCTATTATTCCACACGGGGGTTATAAATACAATAAACATACAATAAAAAGATTATAACGCGGATAAAGATTAAGTAGTTGATATAATACTGTTGTGTTATACCATTATTTATCGTTTAATGATGTAATTTATGTCACATCTTTACCGTACTAGTGATAATTTAATTGATACAAAACCTTAAGATCATATATTTATATTAGACGATAATAAAAAAGATCGAACGCCACGAACAAGACTTTAAAGGGGATATGATAAATCCATTTTCAGCTATGTATAATTTTTTTTTTAAGAGGAGGCTAGAGGTTAGGTTATGAACGATTGTAGTTCTTGTACAGTTTGTCCACTCACATAATATCAATTAGCGATTTTCTTTAAAACACGCGGGAAGCGATATCTTTCATACCATTAATGGCTAAAATACCTTGCAACGTTGCATCTAATTCATTTGGTGTTAGCACGAACACGACGCTGGACCCGGCCCCACTAAATACCGAAGCGACACTGGCTCTTGGTGACAGCAAAACCAAGGGCTGTCCCCTGGATGACAGCGCATTCGATAGGGCGCAGAGACCTTTCGCTGCCGTGAAATCAGCACCTGGATCGGAGAAACATTTTTTTTAAATTACTATCTAAATATTATTGATTAATTATTCATTCATATGTAGCAGTTAGAGCCAATATACTCAAGATTTAGATACTCAAGATCTTGATACAATATACTCAAGCATCCCGAGTTCGACCAATACCAATGCAACTGTTAATTTTAAGTGCTGACTTATCGCGTGCTCAGCGGTGAAGGAAACATTGTGAGGTAACCTGCATGAACAAAAAACGTACAAAAAAAATATTTTGAACATACTTGAGGTCCGCAAATCCGCATTGAGGTTGCATGATGGATTATGCCCTAATACCCCACGTGCCGTGATAGCTCAGTGTCCGGGCGCTCGCCTTTAATTCAATATACTCGAGCAACCTGAGTTCGATCCCCGGTGCCGGCACCAATGAAGTTTTTAACTTTAAGTGCTGACTTATCACGTGCTCCGCGGTGAAGGAAAACATCGTGAGGAAACCTGCATATTTTCGAAATAATAACAAAAAAAAAATATATATTTCGAAAATATGTGAAGTCCGCCAATCCGCATTGGGGCCGCGTCGTGGACTATGCCCTGATACCCTCTGTATTGAGGAGGCCTTTGGACATGTATAGGCTGTTACTTTACTTTACTTTACCCCACGTGCAAAGGAAGACAGCCCAGCAGTGAGACATGTATAGGCTTTCATGTTTAGTTACTTCAAAATCACCAACAACAATGAAAAATACGTTTGCTTACTATCAGATAGGGTGGCTGTTACAAAAGTGTTTTGATAGTAATCTATCCACGCTTCAGCGACTTTCAAATATGGTGAGGAATGTTGCCATACGCCAAACAAGGGTCACGAATATGAGACAGTGATAATAGCTGGTAAGATATTCCAAAAAAATTAAAACTCGGTGTGTGGGTTAGAACAAAACACCAACAACCAACCAAATATGCCATCATTGACATACCCCATGTGTAGAAAGGAGGTAGAAATTAGTAGGTAGTAAATTAGTTTCGTTTATAAATATGAAGTAATTGTTGGTGATATTCGATACCAACACATTCATATATTACATACATTACGTACAAACATTCGACCGCTCCAATGTCACTTATAAATTATAGTTTTAAATGTGCCCAACACTTTCTATTGTAAACATAACGACGAAAAAGGTGACACAGAGTGAAATGCACCAAGTTATTAATGACTGATTCGTACCGAGGACATATCTGCAGTCGATGACAACGGGCATACTGCAACCGCCTTGTTTCTTAGCGGCCCTTGTGACGTATTGCCTGATATATTCGACGCTCGGAAAGTACAAGCTATTGCCAACCGTCACCAATAAGTAGCTGAATCCCGAGGGAGTCTGTGAAAATAAAAAATATTACAATATACTACGTAAGATTCGAATATTTAAAATAGACAACCGAGAAGGTTATCGACATAGGCAAATACGAGGAAAAAGGGATTTACAATAAACTAAAATAGAATTATATCGACTTGTTCTGATAAATTTCTTACTGAATCTTTGTTTGTGGACAACAAAGCTATACGTCATGTCAGCTCGATTTTAATTTAACTTACAATTTAATAAAATATTGGCCATTAACTTATTTATAGATGAGGTATCTTTATTATGTTTACATTATGTCTGGGTTATTGTGCTGAGACCTTGGCTTGTTTCATGTTGCTTTATGTTTCTTATATTTTAAACACGCTTTATCATTTAGTCACCCGCTTCCAGACTGGAATTGTAAGATATTTTGCACACATAATATAAAAGACTTCGTCTAATTCATTTAAGATAGGGTTTATAAGTATTTGAATAATTTTGTACCGTTAATTTTTGTACTGGTCGTAAGAAAGCAGTTTGCAACAAAATAAAATTAAAAATTAAACATAACAAAATGAACATTTCATAACAAAATAATAATTCTTTTTCTAAGAAACTTTATGAATATGTACCTATGTAAAACCAATTAGACAAATTTAGATGAGATACATTGATAACTCAATTTTTCTTGGGGTTGTGATTATTGTGGTGTTTATATACGTACAAAATACTGAGTACTTTTAATTGTATTTTTCAGGTACCAAGTACGCATAGTGTAAGCTTTGCTTATGTCGGGACTAGATAACATTGTGTAAAGTAAGTCCAGAAATATTTATGTTTATAACTAGGGATATTATTTTTTGACTTATTTATGAGTGTGTAAACATATCGGTATATGTGTGTATCAATGGCTGTTTATGGTTTTTATTTGTGGATCATACAGATCCAGTATCCTAATGTGTGAGTAATATATTTAGCTTCGAAATTTCATACTGTATTATTTTAACTTTGACTGATATTTTTGCTTTCAGTCCGTAGACTATTAAAGCTTCATTGAACGCAGAACTCGTGGGCTAGCCAGAATCCACCAGTTTCATATGGTGTAACGCGGAGAAAGTTGAGTAGGACTGCGTTGTTGTTGATGCTTGTGTTATCTTAAACGGGAAACACACGTCACCTACAGGTCAAGGATCGGCACGACCGTGACCCCGATAGTCCTTGACTATTTAATCGTCCGCTCAAACTATTTATTTTAAACATGTGGCCACAAACTGTTGTCACTCTTTAATAAGTAAATATATGCCAAGTGAAAGGAAACTGCAATGAAACCATTAAGATTTAATAGACTTAGACCTAGCAAAGTCTTAGAGAGAGAATTTCAGGTAGGCCAGTTTTTGGATATAATGCTATCCCTCTCACTCTCTCGGACGTCATACGGGTGCGCATTGTACATTGTACTCTTCTAACATGCCCAATCACTTTTCACTTTTGGATCGGTCTGGCTGAAGGTTTAACAAATGAATTAATGTTAGAGATAGCCTATCTAAAAACTGGCCTACCTGAAATTCTTGTTTTCACGACGTTACTAGGTCTTATACCATAAGAATTAAGTTGAATATAATACTCGAATATTCGAATATATCTTTACAATTGATGTGTTATTTGTAATTGCATACGTACATATTTAAATGATAAAAATATTTAAGATTATTGCAAGTGGCTAGCTAAATTACTCGAAACGTCAGTATACGATATCAAATACAACGATTGCATGTTAGTATTCAAGTAAATTCGTAACGAATTAGTCAAGGCGATTGTACGAAGCGTAGTCATGTATAATGAACATTATAATTTCGCAAATATTCATATATAAATTTCACGGATCATTTTTAACACAAACATTTGCGCATTTACGACGCTTTTAATTGTTTTTAAATCCTTCTCATACTCAGGGAACATATCGAACATTTAATTTTTTTGAACGAAATTTTAAATATGGTTTGCAATGGCAACTTATAAAGTGCTAAAACTGGGGATCCCTTTTTAGGGTTCCTTACCGAAAGGGTAAAATGGGACCTTTATTAGTAATAGACTAAGACTCCGCTGTCTGTCTGTCTGTTCATCTGCCACCACGCTGTATCTTATGATTCGTGACAGTTTGAAATTCTCACAGATGATGTGTTTCTGTTGCCGCTATAGCAACAAGTACTAATTAAACAGAACAAAAAAAAATTAAATCATCCCATACAACAGACATGATTTTTCCTCCGTTTTTATAGATAATGGTACATAACGTTTCGTGCGCGAGTTCGACTCGCACTTAGCCGGATTTTTATATTTGCAATCAGTAAATATTAACACAACAAGTATAACGATTAACACACTAGTGTTTTACGTTGTTTATTCCATTGGAACAACGATTTAGTCTTCCACATTGGCAGTGAAAACGTGAATATTGCAAAGAAATAACACACAACAACACTTTCTCGGGCCGTAAGACAATGTATAAAACCCAGGAGCATAATCTATAAAAACGGCAAAAAAATCATGTCTCTTGCACGGGAGCTCCATTTAAATATTTTTTATTCCGTTTTTTACAATTTGTTGTGATAGCTGCAATAGAAAGCAATCATCAGTGAAACATTAAACTGTCTGTCACGGTTCATGCGATACAGGCTGGTGACATACGGACAGACAGTGGAGTCTTAGTAATAGGGTCCCGAAGATTCAATCCTGTTATCTAACTAGTGACATGTTTGAGTAAGCATCTGTGGTTTAGTGGTCAGTGCTCGGTATAATTAACAATGTATTTAGCATTTCAATGACCCGCTCTCACTAATTTAGCACCGTCGAAACGAAACTTGATTACGCCTTATTGTGGTGCGAAATGGCTCGTATGTACATATTCGTTACAGCGTTAGAATTGCGATATGTAATCGGAGGGTAAAATCTTTATATATCATCGACGAAGACGGTCTGTTGCAGTTTGGAAAACGTAATTGAGTAAACAACACATTTGACAGTATCTCCTATTGGGATTGTAATTAACGGTGTGAAACTGATAAGTGAAGAAATACAAGGAAAGAGGTTAAGTAACAAATTGGATTCGGTACAGGATGTCATAGAGAACTTACATTTTAGGACTTACAGGATCAACATCAGTCTACTAACAGTCACAATCTCGAGCCAGCAGACACGGGTTTAACATCAGCCGACCAACAGTCACAATCTCGAGCCAGCAGGCACGGGATTAACATCAGCCGACTAACAGTCACAATCTCGAGTCAGTAGGCACGGGATTAACATCAGCCGACTAACAGTCACAATCTCGAGTCAGTAGGCACGGGATTAGCATTAGCCGACTCACAGCCACAATCTCGAGTCAGTAGGCACGGGATTAACATTAGCCGACTCACAATGACAATCTCCAGCCAGCAGGCTCGGGATTAACATTAGCCGACTCACAGTGACAATCTCGAGCCAGCAGGCACGGGATTAACATTAGCCGACTCACAGTGACAATCTCGAGCCAGCAGGCAGGGGATTAGCATTGGCAGACTCACAGCCACAATCTCGAACCAGTAGGCACGGGATTAACATTAGCCGACTCACAATGACAATCTCCAGCCAGCAGGCTCGGGATTAACATTAGCCGACTCACAGTGACAATCTCGAGCCAGCAGGCAGGGGATTAGCATTGGCAGATTCACAGTCACAATCTCGAGCCAGCAGGCTATACGGCATTATCAATGGCCGACTCACAGTCACAATCTCGAGCCAGTGGGCACGTGATTAACATAAGCCGACTTACATGTCACAATCTCGGCGTCCAGCTGCGGCCTGGCGCTCGGGTACAGCAGCAGAACAACGTTCAGCGCCACGCCGGCAACTATGCCCACCTCCACGCCGACGGCCAAGCAGACGGCGAACGTCGCGAAGGCCGGCATTAGGTCAGCGCGTCGCGACCGCCACATCGGCTTCACCACCTGGAACCGATTACGCTGACAGCCCGAGGCTAGGCAGCCGCAAGTGTCGCTCAGACAAACTGAGGATCGTCAAACGACTTCGCAATGGGGTCCACAATCCGGTTGTTACTTATTTATGTTTGTTACTTTTGAATGTTTGAACTTCTGTCGCTTATGGCCGATTTTAAAAATTCATTCTGCTTCTTAATTCAGTTGTTATTTTTCATGTTTGTTACCTCTGAACTCGGTCATTTATGAATAGAGAAGAAAAATTATTTTTTCTTCTCAATTCATTTTTTATTTTCAATGTTTGTATGTAGATAGACGTCTGCACTTACATTTTAAATACTCTATATGTGGCTGATTCGTTGTCAATCTAAAAAAGCTGACCCTGTTTTTCTTATTCACTGGACACAATGTCTTTCTTATGTGAAGCATCGTTATTGGCATCAGTGCAACAGAAGGCTACAAGGTGCGAGAGTGACAATGACAGTGAATGTTATGACTGCCTGCCTTAAATTGCCTTTTACTTTTTATATTTGAGAAGGTGGCAAGCGAGTTGACGGTTCACCTGATGTTATGTGATAGCCAATGCCCATTGACATTTGAAACACCCGTAGGGTTGCAGATGCGTTGCCACCTTTTAACAAAGTGGGTTTCAGCTATATCGCTCACCAGACGAAACGCAGAAGTTTAACACTTCCACTTCATTTTATTTATCATTGGCTACTTTTAACGTTTCTATTCGCTGTGAACATTTAACAACTTTAAAGTTCATAAAAAACTTTAGTTTCAAGTATACTGAAATTAAAGTTCTTTACACGAATAATAACGGTTAACACAAGCGAGTGTACGAATAACAACGGTTTTTGATATTGAACCGATTCCACGGGTAAACATTGACACCAAAAACTGTCGGAATTAAAGTTGGGTTCCGAGCATTGTTCTGATCTTACCTCGTATTCTATCATAAATATGACGGCGCAGATCACCACGGCAGCCAAAGAAGCCTTCGGTATGAAGTAAAAATAGGGCGTTAGAAGACTCAATGCCAACAGCACCAAAATACCTGGAAATTGCATTTTATACAATACCCCGAGATCTCGAGATATCAGGATTGAGATTTTGAAAATATTGTAGAAGCCAATAAATTTCTTGATTTTTCCAATATAGTACTAGTGCAACTAGCTTGCAATGGCAACTTACCCGATTGCGTGCTGCACTATCCAGTGTTTGTGTCTGTTGTTTATTCAAAGCTCAGTTATCGTATAGAATGTGTGCGCTAACAAAACTGCGTACCCGTGTAAATACTCCCGAATTGCGTGGCCACCCCACTGGCGTGGTTCACTGCGCTGCGAGAAAATGAACCGGTGATTGGCATCGCGCTGACAAACGAACCGAAAATATTGGCCAGCGACAGCGTCAGCAGTTCCTGTGTAGCGTCGACCGATTCGCCACTGGCTGAAACGAGTTAGCGTTTATTGGATTGCAGCTTTCGGTCTGGAATTTCGAAAAAAGAATGTTTTTTAGTTTAGCAAACGGATCGCCGGTGTTTGCAATTGTAAACGCCAACAATCCGATTCCTAAATCAATTGATTTTTGTCGATGGGGAAATTCGGTTTTAGGAGTTTCGTTTAGAAAGCTATATGACATATAAAAAAAAAGTATTCGTGTGTAATTGGTCGGTTTTGTGTGTATAAATAATAATGAAATAAAATACTTTTATAATTGTTTATACTTTAAGGCCGATGTAAAGACATGATAACTTAAATTATTTTATTCATTTTATGATCATTCTTATTTTTTCGCATTTTCATGCATTGACTTTTGAGCTATGGCTAAACTGACCATACGTCGCGTTTTGAATGGGACTGTTCCTTTTCTCGGACAGCTGTCCCCGAACAAATCTTTGGGACACAAAATTTTCCCGTCACACATGATCATGAGAAGCGTGGAACCGTTGTGTTGACGATCGGTTATTCCCGGTTATTCCCCGCATGCACGCGCTCTCGGTTACCTAGTAACGCGGTGACAGGGAAGGGGGCATTTGTTTCTTACAATAGGCTAGCCACGCGCATGTATTCTGACTTCTTTATGTTTTTGTGTAATGTTCGTTAAATGGTTTTGTAGATAATTTTAAGTTTTGTAGTTTTAAAATTTTTCCTATAATTATACCGAAACCTAAGTGTCCTTCCGAAACCTTCATTTAATGTCAACCTACAAACAAAATTCCCATTTGTTAAGCAAATTAACACTCCTTCGGATGTCAGATGCGAAAAGTGCCGCACAGTTAAGTGTTTCCCATATTGGTGCTGGTGATATTAAACAGCTCCAGTTCTGAAGGCGATTCTGATAACAAAGGTCAAAATAAAAAAAATGTGCCAAATTTTATTCTTATTTAAAATCGTCACCTTTATTAAAACTATTTTTTTTCTCTGAGAAATATAAATATATTCAAAACATACCAATGTTTTAATTTTCAATAAAAATGGTGAACTGATTATATTTCTTTATATCTATTAATTTTTAATATTTTCGGAGTAAAGAAAATTATAAATTCATGTTTATTTTCATTGTAAACCAATGTCCCGTTTTGAGTTAGAAAAAAAGTGGTCAGTTTAGCTATGGTCCAAGTTTCAAGTGTTTAGCTCATCGGGAAGTTAGTTTAAAATCAATCACATAATTCCATTAGAAGTTAATAAAATGCATGGTAATAATAAAATAACTACGTGCCTGTTTAAGACAAGATTTGGATTTTACACGATAACGCGTTACTATCGCTTATTAAGATTAACATACAGAAATAAAAATAAATATTCACTAATTCCAAACTGTTGTTATCCGATTATCAATTAGTAAGTACCCATTTAGAGAATGCTATTACCCAAGTAAGATAAAAATGTTTCAATGTAATTGTTTGTTGCACTTAAAACTGCAAATAACAATTTAATTTTTGTCACCAATATCAACTCGGGTTGCTCGAATGTACTGAAGAATGAAAAACGCGTGCTCGGAAACTGAGCTATTACGGCTCCATTCATAACCACAATAATATCGTAAATAATTACAATAGTTGCAATATGTTTACTATTCTCAACTATTTTTTTTTTTATTAACTGCCAGGATAAAAAAATTATTTAAAGAATAAAATAGTACTGCATAATAGAGCACATCCAGTGGAATAATACCTTAAACGTAAATATTATTCCCTAATAATAAACGTGGCACCCGAATTAAAGATAATGTTAAAGTGAGTTGTTAATAAAAGGGTAAACTCGTGTTTGGCCAACGTAAATTGCGAAAGAGTGAACCCAATTTGAAAATAGGAGTCTAATCGCTATTGGGTATGACACCGACCGAATACTGAAGAGCGGTAGCTGGTAACGATATTAGGGCTATTTAGTGTTACGCAAGCGGCGTGTTTTCGTGCGGCCTTCAGTAATTGGACTACAAAGAAAAACGTAACGAAATATTAGCTCGCCTTTGAGGTGTAACGAGTCCATTAACGAATATGACATTTATTTATATTGTAAATGAAAAAAAAAACCTAACGAACATACTCGTAATTAATAGGTGTTAAATTAACATTAATTGTGTAGAAAGAATCCTCACGGGGTTCATGTGTTTTATTATATGCTAAGACTGAGGGTTTTCGGTTTTTTGTTATGTGAGAAAGTGGCAAGGGAGCTGGAAGTTCACTTGATGTTAAGTAATAATCGCTTTCCACTGACCACTGACATTTGCCTACACCCATAGGGTTGTAGATGCGTTGCCATCTTTTAATAAAGTGGGGCCTCGGCCTCCTCAATCACCAAACGAAACGCGGAATTATAACATTTCCACTTCACGCTGGCCTTCTCTGAGGAATTTATTTCGTATGAAATATTTTGAAGTCAACAAAATTTGATCTGTACCAGGTGGCACAGTTCGTAACAAGGTTCTATTATAAACATAATTATAATCATGAGAAAGGATGTTTGAACCTGGGTTGTATGTTTTTAAGCACAACTTTGGTTAAGTGCTATGGGTATTTTAATAAACATCACTTTCGAATAATGCGTGAGTTCATTATCTTGTAGGATCTTGTAGGAATGTATGCTTGTTATTACTGAAGCAAACTACACGATGTGGATTTTTGCACGATGTTTTTCAGATACGGGTGCCGTCGGTTATAACCTCAATTAATTTTTTTGTGTAAATTTATTACATTGAGAATTATTTACTTTGAGACCCGAGATATCCAAAATTAACAATCATTATATGAAATTTTTAGAAATTAATTACATGATTGCTTTCAAATTGAAATGCGAATGTTTTGATAAAGCGAATCAAACAACGTAAAAGGAAATAGACAACAAACGTACAGACAACATTGTAAGGCAAACACACAAGTTAAACTCGTATGGAACTTCATACTTGAAAATGTCAAGCAACTTTTCACTTTGCGCTGATGGTGAACCGAAAAGTTCTCCCCTTGAATTAAGAATGATGGATCTTAAACATTTTAAAGTTACGTGCGACTCAACTGTTTCGTTTGATATTAAGTTTTCGAGACGTACAGAGTTTTGGTTTGCCGGGACATAATTAGACCCAAAAAGTTGGCCATAGAAAAGAAAACTTTAGAAAATGCTTTTTCGCGTGGCATTCTTGAGAATCGCTTGAATGTAAGCGATTGTGGTCGCTGGCAACACCGGATTGGATGAAGTTAAGATCTAAGTTCGAACAAACTCCGACATACCAAAGGCTTTGGCGATGGCGACGTTGCCCAGAACTCCGATGATAGGCACCAGAACTATGGAGGAGCCAAGATCAGAGCACATCTCGATGAATGTGACATTCCTCCCGCCGTGTTCGGTGCGGAAAGGCGGCGCCCTCCAAGTCGGGAAACCATCTCTGAAACGAAGTGCGCATTACTAATATCGAAATTGGCTTGGCGGGCGGGTTATTGAATAATACCGGAACGCCAGAAACGTCGCGCCCTAACAAAGGAGCGAAATTCGAAGGAATTGTTCTATTGATAGATTTACGGCACGTTACGGAATCCCAAGATAGTCTGTGAAATTTTGGTATTAGAGATTGACCATACGAGACCATACGATTTCTAGAGTTATATAAATGATGTTGTAAATACAAGAGATATTAACAAAATTTATATATTTTCACGAATTTTGCCTGCTAGTTTTATTGTCTGTTTACCCAAGGGCGGAATTAGATTCTTATTTGGTTAGAAACAAAAGTTTCAAGTTAGTCCTCTTTACTGCTCTCAATGATTGCTGTAACTTTAATTAAGTTCATCATTAAATTAGACATCTCTCTAATGTAAATAAACAAAACAATAATAAATCGTGACACGATTTCGTAACAAGACCGATATTAAAGCAAAAGTCTGACATTAATTGCTATTCAAAAGTGCTTAATTAGATTTACTTGACAGTTCCAGTGAGTTTGAAAGGGGACTCCGAGTGTCTTTCCAAAAAGAATGCCATTATGGAGCACAACAAAACAATAATGGCATTTCTGGATGTTGACAGCAACCACAGGGCTTTCTTAAAGCCTTTTTGGCTAGACGGGAGATTAATATCCTTCATTTTCTGAAACAAAAAGAAATATCTAGTTGATTGAGGGACAAAATAACAATTGGTTTAGGGGAAGAACTAGTTATTTAGCAGTTACGTAAAATATTAGTGATATGTATATTCAAATTGGTTAATAGCGTATTTATACTTTGGCATGTATTTAAAGATTCTTTTAACGTATTGAATTCAGACTTGACGCGATGTCGATTTTTGGAATATTAATGTTATACAACGAATCATAGGCATCGGATAGATGAGAAATCTATTCTAGTAATAGCTAAAATAGGGCCGTTTTAGTTAAAAGTTTTCAGATTTTGTTTGCGAATTTTTGAAATGTTAAGATTACCAGACTAATCTCATGCTATATTATTGTTTGAATATTGGTACAACAGAATTTATATTTGATACGATTATTTAAACACTTATTTTTTTCCCACGCGTTAAATTTATATAACATGAGTGCTTTCTGATGAGCAAGCAAATAAAATCGCACAAAATAAAAAGTGTAGTGTAAATAGTCGATTAATACATGTGAAGTCAGTATCTTCAGACCATTAGTATTTTAAAAGAATAAGTTTATATGTGCCTCTTCTTTGGCAATAGAAGAAGCAGATAATAGTTATAAGGAGTTTTTAGTAAGATACAAACTGTATGACCATGAAAGGTATGAGAGAGATTTAAAAACACATTAGACAACTAGTAATTAAATAGGAACTAACTTCAAACCGTAACTTTCATTACTACTTTTGTACTGTATCGCTTAATTTAGAAAAATAATTCAAATACTATGGTTCATTTATATTTAGAAAAAATTTCTTAGATATTGGTATTAACAAATAATGTGTAAAGAAACTTTTATACGCCACAATGCGGAAACAAAATTAAAAAATAAGACAAACACATAACCGGATCTGATCAAAGAAAAAAGACCAGAAATAAGCAAATCGTTTTTTTTTATCTTACGATCTCTTCCGCTGAATCGTGTTCAGTGAGGCAAACCGGGAAGATCTTCGGGAAATAATGAAATCCTATTGGTTATTTATTACGCAGCGAGTCTTCTCTCCAACCGACTCCACTTTGATGGATATCGAGGCTAACTTTTAACGTCGTACTATCGTAAAACGGAAACATAAAATATTGTTGTCATCGCACTGAACGCATGATGCAGCGACTAGTTTGAAACTATTATAAAAATATCGATGAGTCCGATAGTGTTATTATTCTAAAACTGTAATCCCTTTAACCCAATCTAACAGCCTGATTTGATTGTAACATGCACCCCGTATCAACAAGTGGGTTAAAAATATGTAAAAAATTTCAATTTACGAGATTTTGTGTATTTATGTGTTTTATACTTCTGCTAATAAAGTAATAATTCATGTAAAGTAAAGTTTGCAGCCTATACATGTCCCACTGCTGGGCAAAGGCCTTCTCTGTACAGAGAGTATGTACGCGGCCTCACCACGGATTGGTAAACTTCACATATCTTCGAAATGTTTTTTTTTGTTATTATTTCGAAAATATGCAGGATTCCTCACGATGTTTTCCTTCACCACTGAGTACGTGATATATCAGCACTTAAAATTAACAATTGCATTGATGCCGGCTTCGGGGATCGAACTCAGATTGCTTGAATATATTGAACTAAAGGCAAGCGCCCGGGCACTGAGCTTTCACGGCTTGATTCATTTAATTAATAGCTAAAAGGTAGATACCAAAGAGATAATCAGATGGGTTGTGATAACAAGTTTTGTTACAGCCTTTAATGCCAACAATATCTGAATATAACCGAGTGGTATCTAACAGCCAATTCAAATGATTGATTAGCTATCTAAGACCAGACTTATGTGGTAGAATAGCTGTGGATGTCTCGCTAATGGGCGATGATTTACGACACGTATGTGTACGTAAGGATCATTAATTTGAATATCTATGGAGCGTTTACAAGGTATATGTGTGTGCAAAAGATTTTTTGTTACCCCCCCTGATCCAACAATGTACATCACTCACAACAAACTCTTCAAAATCAAACAGAAAATGTATAGCCTATTGCCTTTTGTTATTAAAAATGTTGTTGCCTTAAAAGCTGAACACCTGTACCAATAGTAACGTTCTTTGGACAAATACAGAACGAATTCACAACGTGTTCGGGCCGGATTGTGCGATGGACTACGCAATAGCAATGCCGTTGAAAGTGAAATACGACAAACGCAGTGGGCATCGGGCCGGTGTTCGCTCCGCTGGATTCTCATAACGATTTACCGTGTACCGGACAGTTAGGAGCATTTTTGTTTTATAATAATACACAAGAAGCGTTCACGCTTATTAACCTTTCAGAAACAGTCCTTTTTTCTCCGAGCTTGTGGCAAACAAAATGGCTCCGGTGTTTGGTAATTTAATAAAGATTTATAAAAGATATCGCTCTTTCTCCTGACGTTATCTCATCTAGGTGACACTTGGGAATCATGTCGAATGCTATTGGCTAGGTTTTTTACGGCCGGCTGCCTGACGTAAATCCTACTTGGTAACAAATACCCAGGTCCGTAACAATTACGTATGGGTCACACAAGTACTGGTCCCGACTAGGAATCAAACCCGAGACCCCCGGCGCCGAAGTAAATAACATACTTAGCATCTTTTTTATGTGAAAAGTTGCCAAACGAACAGACGGTTCACCTGATGTTAAGTGAATACCGCAGCCCTCTGCTACACCCGAGGGTTGCAGATGCGTTGACAACCTTTTGAAAATTGGGCTCCGGCCACCCCACTCACAAGACGAAACGCGAAAGTATTTGTCATACTTCCACTTTACGCCGGTCTTCTATGAGGTCGTGGTACTTACCCGGACGGGCCTGTCCATTCGTGCAACAGCCGAGGCTGCTGCGCGGCCTTACCACCGCAAAAACTACTTAGCAATTGCGCCCCCCAAGATTAAAAAAAAATATAAAGACTCACCCTCATTAGCAGAAGCGTAATAATACACGATATTCCTAAGACGCTGTCAGCAAGCCGGGCGTTGGGTACGTTCACAATTACCTGGGAAAAATTAAAGTTAAGTTGGCTTATAGCATGTGTAATGTTAAAGTTAAATTCTGAAAACATCCTTTCGTAGGTTTTTCGAAAATCGTGCGAGCACATTTTAAAGTTGCATAAAAATTATATACCATAAACAGTCAAAGGATTCTTATTGCACAAGTTATACTGAAAGATGTTATTGTACACATACAAAGTTATATTTATGTTAGTATTTGTACAATAAGGAATGAAACAATCTGTCGACGCCTGTTCTCCGTCTGAATATCACATGGACGTTTCAATGAAAAATAAGAAAAAACGTAAAAATACAATAGATGTCTGAGCCTTTGCATTTAACATAAACAACTTTTACTCCTACTGGAACTCAAGCCCTATCCGATTTTTGGTGAAAATTGCTTTGAGGACGCGGTATCTCAAGCGAAACTAATATTAGCAAGAAAACTTGCAGAATTTTCCTGCAGTCAATTCACAATAGACGGCGTTAAGTTTATAATAGACTAGCCACTCCTTTTATGTGAAAAGTTGTCAAACAAGCAGGCGGTTCACCAGATGCTAAGTGAATACCGCCGCCCACCTACAATTATGCCAATCGCCATCTACAACTCCTAGAAGTTGCAGAGAATCTTTAAAATAGTGGGCCTTGGTTACCTCACTACCTAGACGAAATGACGAATACGTGTAAATGTATAACATTGCCACTTCTCTTCTTTGAGGCCATTTTACTTCCCCGGACGATCCTGCAAATTCGTGCTACAGAAGATGTTGCGTGACCCCTACCACAGTAATACTGATGCAATTAGTATCTGTACAAGTAAGCAACAATATGCCGGTTGACGTAAAAATGTCTGGTACTTGCGAATTAAACTGCCGGAAGCTCTTGTTGATCTAATCGCGGCATTTATTATTAAACTAGCTGCTGGCCGCGACTACGTCTGCGTCTAGTAGACTGAAGGTGTAATAGTCAGACAGAAAGACAGATCTACATAAAATATGTATATAAATTATAGCCTATGTCTTATTCTGATGTATAAGCTATATTATTGTAAAGTTTCATTAAAATCCATCCAGTAGGACTTGTGTTAAAGAGTAACAAACATCCATACATACAAACTTTCGCCTTTATAATATTAGTAAGGAAGTAAGGACGTATTGCATTACCTTGACCCGCCTACAAAGGATGTTGTGACAAAAGCCTTCGACATCACTTTGCAATTACGCGCTATCATCGTATGTATGTGCTAAACTGGTTGTTGTACATGTCTATTGCCATATGAATGATCAATTACGCTGGGTACTAGCTTAAGTGTACTCCGATGCAATTGAAAAAAACGGTATTCCTTTACCATTATTACAAGTATTCATTTTATGAGTTTTTACGTTTTTACTGTCGTCAACTTTTTCCTGAGCTAAATGAAGAACTAAGAGCTAACAGATGACCGGCGTAAAGAATTTATTAAGTGACTAGCTGACCAAGAAAACGTTGTTTTGCTTTATAAAGTATTTCTAGGAAAAGTGTGAAACTGAAGACATAGAAAAAGAATTTTCGGAACGCAGCCATAAAATTTTTGACATGTAGGAACAGGTTGTATGGGAAAATAAAATTGAAATAGCCATAATTCGAATTTCCATGCAATTTTTCCATAATTTCTCGTCGTTTAAACCTTCCCTGGAGTTCCACAAATATTTCAATACCTAAATTAGCCAAATCAGTCCAACCTTTCTCGAGTTTTAGCGAGACTAACGAACAGCAATCCATTTTTACATATAAGATTTGTCTGCTGAAACACGTAATTGGGGCTCACCGTCCTAAATATTGTTTAACAAAATGATCGTTTTGGATGGAGTAGCTGTAGATGTAATAGGGGAAGCGGTTGCCCATTAGCCACCTGGAGTAACAGACTGTTACTCCACCTTTTTATATCTCTACAACAAACCTGTTATATTACGTATATTTCTAGAAAATCATTTGATGATTAGAGTTTAGGAACATATACATTCACAGGATATTCTAAACATACGTCATCAAATGATGACTAAACTACATATAAGCGTGTGCACAGATACGATAAATGGGTGGGCCAAAGCTACTAGTTATTTATTAAGTAAACCAGACTTTAAATTATATTTATTAAGTAAGAATAAATTGATAGTTATTTTTGCTCCCTGGTTACAATTACCAATTCACGGGAAAAAGGCATCTAACAAAAGCTACGCAGTTTTAAAAAATACCATTAATGTATTTCTTACTTTTGTTAGGGTGTCTAAGAATCCCCTGGATTTGAACTGCAGCCCCAAAAGACCCTTGAATTGCGAGACGGCGATAATAACCGAAGTCGCCGACGTGAAACCAACTGTTACCGGGACCGATATGAAGTCTATTAAAACACCTGTTTCGACAAAGACAAAAAAAAAAGTAAAAAAATATATATGTGTGTATATATATATATATATATATGTATATATATTTAGCAAAGAAATTCCATGTCAAATTTTCGTTGTTTTCTACAATAGAGACATCGGGTGGCTTTAATTCATAGATGAAATTGATGAATACTTTATACAATCAGTTTTTTCAAATACTCTACAAGAGGTACTTATTCATTATTGATTTCTCAGCGTTAAGAATTTTAGTACAACACAGTTACTGTGGTAGGTTAAAAATAAAAAATAAAAATTTGAAATGCTTTTAAGTAATTTTAAGTTTAGTGTGGCATATACTCTATGCCATACTAACCTCAAAATTACTGAAATGCTAATCAATAATGCTAATGAATACGACTGATTTAATAGAATCTTGTATAATGAATTTTCTTAAGACAGTGTAAAGGAAGATAAATCATGGGCACAAATGTACAAGTTCCCTCCCCTTTTGTGATAGAGTTAAATCGCGAACAAGATGAATAGACCATTACAATATCCGGTTTCATTCCTTTCTTATACGTAAATTACAAAGGTAACCAACAAGCCGATGACCATTAAATATGATTGTTTATCAAAACGAAAAGAAAATTCGTGTTGCTTTGTAAATTTTTAATTCTCGTGGCGATAAATGTGAACATTACCGTTTTAATTTAGTTTGCTGTATTCCAATTGTTCTCGTCTGAGTTGGATATGCAATTCAATATTACACATAAAGGCACTAAGCAATTTATTAGTAAAGAAAAATCAATTACCATTGCATAAAATATATACACAAATAAAATCTAAATTAGAATAAAACCCCAGCAGGATAGACCAAATGGCCAAGGATTAGGGGAAAGTATAAATCAAGAATTGATGATCTATTGGAGGAAATTTGCATAGCAAGTCAGATCTTACGGAATCTAGCTAAAATCGTGAAAATGAAAGATAGTTACTAACCCAAATGCAATATTCCCATAACTAGTTGAACGACGCCTGTGAGGAAACACAGCAATATTGCGTAGTCGAAATTCCTTCCTTGGATCTGTTCGTATGTCATTAGAGCCAGTAGAGCTGTCGGGCCCAAAGTAATATCCTTACAGGACCCGAATATTGTATAGACGAAACAACCCATGAAAGATGAGTACAGCCCATACTGAAAGAAAGAATTTCATGTTTCACTTTGTCTACCTTGTCTTGCATTGCGTTCCTTTCCCATTCTTCCCGGCCTTGATAATTTTGCAACGCTAGTAAATCCAATAACGCTAACATACGTGTTAGTGTTATTGGATTTACAGGATTTGAAATAATGGTTGAAATGATTGATTGTAATTGCAAGGCGATAAATACGTAGGAACGAAAATATAAGAATGAGTAGAAAAAAAATGAAGCAGAAGTGAATATAAATCATTGTTAAAAGAATTGCTTTCGAATAACACCGATTCCCCGGCGCAAAACTTCGGGGAGAAATCTAGAGAGTGGAACAATACACATTAATCTCACAAACATGGGTAGAGGGAAGCGAAAATATTTCGACGACATTTTATTTTTTGATGGCAATGGTTTATTGAATAATAGGGTGCTAACATGCAAATGTTACGACGCTGTTATTCAAATTAATGCTCCCCAAGTATTTCGCATCCTTATCGGCATGCAGCAGTCGAAATAAAAACATCAATGAATAAATTTAACATCATTATCATTACATTTGGTATACATTTATCGCATAAGCTTTTTTAGTAGAATTTTTAAAGTGTTGTTTGATGTAGCATTTAAAAAAAAAGGCATTTAAATATCTTTTGATCATATCTTCAATACACGTAACATAGTTTATAGAGGGTTGATCCATCAATAGAATTCAACCGGCGTACAATTTTTCATCTCCCGAGGATTGAAGTTTCAGAAGATCACGTACTGAAATTCGAAGTTACGTCACAATTTATGACACGTAAAAGTAGATATAAGTATATTAATGTTTATGATACTATTCATGTCTTTATCGTGTATCGATGATACTCACTTGAGGTGGAAGGCCGGCTAGGGTTGCATATGCCAAAGCTTGTGGTATTACAGTTAGACCGACTGTAATACCAGCAATCAAGTCAGCAATAGCTTTCTCTGAATTGTAGCCTGGCAGCCATTTCGTCACGGGAATCCTTTTGTACATCAGACGTTTGTACCATGTCTGTTTCTTAAAGCGCTGTTTGGACGGAGATGACATGATTTATGTAACCTGAGGACAAAGAGATGGAAATGTATTTAAATTTGTATGACATTATATCCGTGACTTTAATTATTCTTAAGAATATAATTTATAAATAGAATATCAGCAAACATTGTGCACATATCTAATATGCACGATTTCTAAACAATATTTTACTCAATGTTAACTTTCTTGCTGAATAACAGTAAATACATATGGAAATATGTTCGTGAAGAAAAATAATGCATCTATTTTATTACAAAGGAGTATGAAAATGCAGTAGCGTTTCCATTTCAACAGCTCAGCATAATACAGTTTTCTTTAGCCTCATTTTAAAAACTTTTCTGGAAATCTGAGCAATTGAAGACAAAGTGTGCTTGAAGAAAAGTTGTTCCTT